GAATAATTCCCCCTATTTAATTAAAAACATGAGCTAGAGTAATTTCTAATACTATAATTTATTCGGAACTAGAGATGAAGCCAGAGTAATGGCTAAAAGATGAAAAAGAAATAAAACTAAAGAACAAAGAGAAAGGAAAAGCTTTCTGCTCAATATTTCACTTCTCAGATTTCTTCCTTTCCTTTCCTTCACGAACGATGCCTCTTTATAGGCAAGCCATGACAAGGTTTTCAATTATCTTCTGGATATGAACTTGTCATGGCTGGTTGTGGCCTTGTTATGCTTGGTTATGAGCTTCTTTGGTTATGGATTAGTTATAGTTTATTGTAACCGGTTGTGAGTCGGTTATAGTTTGTTGTAGCCGGTTGTGAGTCGGTTGTCCTTTGTCATGGCAGATCACGTCTTTCTTTAGCACCATATTTTACTCTGCTTTAGCTTGTCCGTTTTTCTAATTTTTCCTATGTAATCTTCTCGTTCCCGGACCAATAATTCTTTAACCTTTCCTGCATAATTTAGATAAAGTATGAAAGAAATATGATAGTTTTTTTTTTGTGTTTTTCGAAGAAAATATATGTTAAAAATCAAGTAAAATGCACTTATCACACACCCTTTGAAATCGACTTCCTCGTCGATCCAACCCAGTTTAAGAGCCCAAAAGGGTTGTTGACATACAACGCCCACGTTGCTCCATTCACATCTGCCACAATGGCATTTTCTTCTGCCACTTGATCTTGCTTTTTCGCAGCCAACACCACATTCACCCTCGCCTGCACCAGACTGTTTTTCTTCAAGTGCGGTCCACCACAAGTGAAGCAACCTTTGAATTTGCCGCTTTTCTCTTTGCCATTGGAAGTCTCCGCATGCTTCCATTTTTGGCATACCCTTCATCTTAGGCAGCTTGGCCCTTCCCAGTTTTCTTCCATTCCCCTTTTTAGTCCTTCCTTACATCGGACTTTGAATGAGAAGATTCAATCGGGTCATTACCTAAATTGAAGTTAGCTAACGCATCTGTCGCCGCAATAACGGTAGAGAGGCTTTGAATGTTCTATCTTCTCAACTCTAATTGTGCCCAGCCCTTCAATCCGCTCAAGAAGTAATGCAGCTTATCTTCCTCGTCCATATTACTCACATTCAGCATCAAGGATGAGAACTCCTTGACATACTCCCTCATCGTGCCCCCTTTGTTTCAAGCGACATAGTGCATCTCTTGCAATAGATGACGAGTTGCTTGGAGGGAATTAAGATTTTAATTCCTTCTTCAGCATCTCCCAAGTTTTAATCTTGGGATGTCCAGCACATTCCACTTCCATGACTCGTGCGCCATCACACTTTTGCACATCAGTCAAATACATAAGTGTGATGGTCACCTTTTCCTCATCCGGCGCACGAGCAACTTGAAAATACTGACTCAAGTCCCACAAGAATTTTTTTATTTTCTTGGCACTTCTTTCACCACCACCAGCCTTTGGCTCCAAAATCCTCATCTTGGTGCTATCATCACTTCTAGGGACAGTGCTTTGTAATGCCCTTTGAAGTAGAACCACCTCCTCACTCAGTTCTTCATTTTCCTTGCGTACCAAGGTCATTTATGCCAGCGTAGTCTCATGCCTCGGTGCATAACATGCCTCCAACCGTGTCATTCTCACTAGAACATAAGAATCAACACCTGTTTCAAAGGCCTGCCCAACGGGTGCTTCCAATTGTTCTACTTTTTGGCAAAGTTCATCATTTGTGCCACCAGCCATGTTCTCAAAAAGTAACATAAATCTGCTACTGGTCGTCTTGCCACCGCCACAAATCCGCTCCGCTCTGATACCACTTGTCACGGGGCCAATTTTTGTCAGCCCAAAGCCACACCCGCGTTGCAGTCAAGTTGCGCACTTGACTAAGCCTTCCCGACACTTAGCCAAATTTCAGCAAGTTTGTTTTCAAATAATTTTAGGGAGCACACATAAAGAGAACACAATCAAATACGGGAAAATCCCAGCCTCTGTTTTAATTCAAAAACTTACAAAGGAAACCCTCACTTTGCCATGAACACAAGTCGTTCACAACTCACTTCATCTAGCCAAGATCACAAGTCGATCTTGCACAATAAGACATGCCCAATGTCCAGCCTTAGCCCCTTTTGAAACACTTAGAAACCCTCACGTTTCTCTCTTGTTTCATTTACTGAATTTCACACGAAGTTCCCTACTTCAAACTGATTAAGTCAAAAGGCACCTATTTATAGCACATAGGCAACCTTTAGCACTTGACATCACATTGATACTTGTTGTCTACAGCTTTTTCTACTTGGCGGGCTAATGCTAAATCTGTTCCTATCTTGTAGTTGACATCCCCAACTACATAGGTCATGATCTACATGAGATCATAGTAGATACAAGCATAAAGCAGACATGGGTACAAGTAGTTACAAATAGGTAACCGCCCATTACTTTGGCATGTGCACTGCATGTGCGCTTTTGTTGGTCAACTGCTGCACGTCCAACTGCGGCCCATGACTTTGCTGCACACGCCCGATGCCACTTCCGCCGGCACACACTACTAGAAATTCGACAATAACCGACCACGACCGACCGACCAATTTTGGCCGGTCAAAAAATCAGCCCAAAAACCGACCAAAGTTGGTCGATTTTTAAAAAAAATTTATTGTTTAATTTCTTTACGAAACCGACCAACTTTGGTCGATTTTCTTTGGTGCAAAAATGTGAAAAACTATTTTTGAGTCCCCCAAAATTTATTTTTTAAGAAACCGACCAACTTTGGTCGATTTTTCATTTAAAATAAATTAAAATTAATATTAAAAATACCGACAAAAATCGGTTGGTTAATTCGGCCGGTCATTTTAAGAAACCAACCGTATTCGTTTGGTAATTTTATTTTTTAATAAAATCGACCAACTTTGGTCGGTTATTTTCATGCGAAAATACAGTTAAAGAGTATAAATGACATAAAAGACAGTATTAAAGCAAAATGCACCAATGGTCTAGTGGTAGAATAGTATCCTGCCACAGTACAGACCCCATTTCGATTCCCAGATGGTGTATTTTTTAATTACATAATTAAAATACCGACCAACTTTGGTCGATTTTTTCGGCAATTATTTTTTTTGATTTTAATTGACCGACCAAAGTTGGTCGGTAATTTCCGAGCAACTTTGGTCGGTATGCCCTTCCGACCTTCAAAATACCGTCCACACGTAAATGGTCGTATTTTGGACGGATAATGGCCAATACCGACCCACTTTGGTCGGTTTTTTGGATGGTTTTGCCCGAATTTTTGTTAGTGACACGCCTTGTTCGAGTTTCTATCTTGTCCATGTCAACCCTTGTTTCACCTGTGTCATTACTTGTATGTTGCTTCACATAGCCTTGTCTTAGCTATCTAAAGTCGTTGCCATCATCCCGCACATTTTTGCCTTAGCTTAGCCCGCACTTGGCATTGCCACAACCAAAGTGCCTGTGCCACTGACTTTGGCGCGCATGCCATGCCATGCCGCCCCAACTTGCCCACACTGCCTTGTCATTGTCAAGCATGTCTTGCCTGCCCTAAGACCTTGACCAATACTTGCCCACATGATAATGTCTTGTCCATTGCTCGCATGATCATTTTGCCCGTGCATAGGCCAATGACAAGGCCATCATGTCCAATCCTTGCTACAGTCACACCACGCCGGATGTCAAAGAGTCAGGCCATAACACTAATCGTTTCACAGTACGTTGCCGTATGCATGGCGGCAATTAAAATTTTCTTTTTTCTTTAAGTTTCTCTTATATGTGTTCTGGTATTTAACCGACGACCAGAACAGCATGAAAAAGTCAATAATCAAAGTTGACAATTCATGCCATCTAGATTGTCATAATTAAAGCGCCTTTAAAAAAACCACTAATTGTTTGGATGGTTGTTATATATCGTTTTCCAATGTATCGTATCGTATCGTATTATATTGTACTGTATTGTTTGATGAATACAATGTTCGAATAGATTGTATCATTTGTCGTCGTTTCATGATATCACGCACCAGCAATATGAAGAATAAACTTTCAATATTATAAAGGAAAATTATGATAGGGGGTAAAATTATTATATAAAAAGGTTGGGCAAATGATAAAATAAAATTATTTAATACAATAATTAAGGGTGAGATGAGAGAAAAAGACAAGGTAACGACGCGACCACACCAAATCAGTCGTTACATAAAATGATACATTTTGTCGTATGCAACGACGGATCTAACGATACGATACAATAAAATTTAAACAAAAATAAAAACAAACATCGTATTTAACGTAACAATACGATACAATACAATAGGTTATAACCATCCAAACAAGCTGTAAGAGGTAGTTGATTTTTCTTTTTCTTTTTTTCTTTTTTTTTTTTTTTGGTTTTTGGTTGATAAAACAGAAAAGAAAAGAATAATTTTCGAATATGGACTAAATTCAGGACTTCGCAAGAAATACAAGTTGAGAGAGATAAGCAAACCCTCAAATTTAAACCAGCTTCATTTTTTCTTTTGAACTTGTTTATGTCCCCTTTGGCAATTTGCCATTGCTAAAATATAGTAATACACTTTAATTTCGAATAAAAAAAATTTTAAGAAAAAATAAAGAAGAGGGAGATTTTTAAGAGAAAAGTGTTTCCGGAAGAATGAAGCTGCTATATACTAGCTACTAAGTACTAGTTATTACAACTCTATCTGGTACCGTTCGGATTCGGCGAATTTAATTAATGCTTTTTTTTCTCATTATTCATTTAATTCCGCCCAAAAAAAGTTAACAAAGAAAATAGTATCAGTTGTTGAGTTCACTATACGGAAATCGGAGCCGAGTAACATTGTTACGTAGATGAGATCATTCGAGACGAAACAACATGTCAATGCAAAGGAAAATTTAAAATTAAAAAAAAAAAGGACTAGAAAAATTCAAACGTTGAAAAATGATTAAAATAATAGCATTGTTTTCTGAGACGGAAGAAGACAATTGGAAGAACTTAAGCATATAATGGAGAACTTAGGCAGAAGAGGGTGAAAAATCCAAAGATTGATCTCTTAGTTGGTTGAGTTAATTGCTTTCTTTGAATTGACATTATAGCCATGCTCAATTTTTTCTGAAATAGATATTTCAAAAACCTTCTCGCTAATGGTGCAAAAGACTGTATTGAAGGTTGATGTTTCTTGTGATAAATGCAAGAAGAAGATCCTAAAAGCAGTTTCAGGACTGCCAGGTATTTTTTTTCTTAATTTATTATCTCTGGTTTTCTTTTGTGACTTTGTTTTCACTTTTTGTAATCGAGATTGCGATTTTATCTAAAAATCTATACTAACTAATTAAATTATTCTCTATCATATACCTCCGTGTATATAAATTGGTCGTAGGATATATTCTCCCGTCGTCGAGAAAGTCTATGAAATTGTTTCCTCAAGACAAAAAAGTTGAATAAAACTGAGTACAATCTTCTGAAATGTGAGTTTGATCAACTCTCTTGTTGTCTAAAATATGGAAAATTTTGTGTTTCTTTTACTTTTTCAGATTCTTTGAAACTCCTTTGAACTATTAAGCATTATTGTTAAATCACATTTTAGTGGGGGATCGAGATATGACAACTGACAATTTTTTTTTTCCGCTACAAAGAAAAATATGGCGACTGGCAAACACTAGGATTTTGATTGTAATTTATGTAGTTTTTAACTATATTAAATTTCATTTCCAAAAAATATAACGAATCAAATGTTCGTACTCACGACAACAATTAGAAAGTTTGACACTCATACTCTAATACTTTATTTTTTTTCTAAAAACATATGGAGTACACTTATTGCATATAATAGCTTCTTTACATAAATTTTATTTAGCAAAATTTATTATAGCCACTCGGGCCAAACATTTAACACCCGGTAGCCCAAAATTACAATATCTATTTTATAGCCTAAGAGCCCGTTTGGATTAGCTGATTTGAAGTAGCTGATAAGCATTATGTGCTGAAAAGTACTTTTAAGTGCTGAAACTGATTTAATAAATAAGCAGTTACGTGTTTGGGTACAAGTGCTGAAATTGATAACAATTAATAAATTGACAAAAGTTTCTCAGTAAAAAATAAACCTTAATAGGACAAATTATTTGAAGAGAAACAAACATTGTCTTCATCGCCACAACACTTAGAAAGCAATACACCCAAAATTTGTCTTCATTTATTACATACAGTTCAAAGATTAATACACAATCACATAGATATAAGTCTGCAAAGGAATAGAGAATTTGCTTATCTTAAATAGTCAATGAGAATTGTAGACTTGAAGAGGTGGGGGGAGGGGAGGGGGGGAGGGGGTTTAGGTTGAATACTTGAGGCAGTGAGTATCGAGGGAGGAGTTTTGTTCGAAAAAGGAATATTTTAAGGATAAAATAGTAAAAAATTTGGTCAAACTTAAAGTGCTTATAAGCTAAAATTCATAAGCTGGGGTTGACCAACTTATGCTTTTAGCTTATTTTGACTTATAAACACTTGGCTTATAAGCACTTTTAACTTTACCAAACGCGTAGATAAGCTGAAAAGTGCTTATAAGTTAGTTTGACCAGCTTATAAACTTAGCCAAACACCCTCTAAAAGTAATTCTAGTGGCTAGCCCAAACGTACTTAACTAAGAGGCTCAAATCTGCAAAGACAGATCGCGGAAAGAGAGGCGACCACGCCATGGCTGCAAGTAAAAACCTTTGAATCGCCAGCCGTCCGGTGCTTTGCCAGGCCAAGATACGGGTCGGATAGTCTTTATGCCCGATCCAGTTAGCCCAGAATCCGGATAAAATATCATCACTGCCTCAACTGTTATGTACCAAAAAAGAGGAACTAAAATCACAAAAACAAATATAGAGAAAGAGAGATCTCGTTGTTGTTATTGATTGATGTTGAAGAAATGACTGTATAGCAGTACGTACTTATTTCCAGGAATTCAAGGGCTGTTGATTTTATTTTAAAAGTGGAAAAGGAAAATCATTGTCTAAACAGAGAGGCAACCACCCTTTGAATAAAAATCCCAAGCTATCTGTTACTGCCTCACTTTTTTCTGGGCTAACTTTCTTTGCTGGGAAAATCTTTTTGTTTTCACCAGATAATTTCCACATATATGTCATTAGTTTATTTTGATGGGAATCATAATTTCAGGCCCACCATTAGTATATATTTACATGGATATTTATGTATTTCTTTCGGTGAAAATAGATTTGAATATTGGTATATTACAAAATATATAAAAAATAGACTATCACTATACAAAAATTATACAAAATAGACTGTCACTATATAACTTATATACACTAGACTATCACTATAATAAATATATACAAAAATAGACTGTCATTATACAAAAAATATACTAAAATATACTGTCACTATACAAAATAGATACAAAATAGAGTGTCTATACAAAACTATATTAAATAGACTGCCACTATACAATTTATACACAATAGATTGTTACTAAATAAAATATATACAAAATAGACTGTCAATATACAAAATATATACTAAATAAATTGTCACTATACAAAAAATATACAAAACAGACGGTTACTATATAACAAATATACAAAATAGACTATCACAATACAAAAAATATACAAAATAAATATTTCTGGCTATTAGATGTAATTGTTTGGGCCGGAAGACCATTTTGTGTCAATGGACAAAAACAGGGGGAATTGCACAGTTAGCCACTAATAAGACATGTATTTACTTTTAAGCCACTGTTTAAAATTTCTTTAGTCTTTAGCCACTGATTTAATAAACTTTACCCGCCCGGATGAAAATACCCTTCTGCTCATAAAGTTCAGGACCAAGTGTCCTTAACTTATGAGCTTGTTACTGTAAGTTCAGGACTAGCTATCATTAATTTATTGGCTTGTAAGTCTAAGTTCAGGACTACATGTCCTTAACTTTTGAACTTGGCTTTCGAAGTTCAGGACTACCTGTCCTTAATTTCTGTACTTGTAACTCTAAGTTAAGGACTACTTTTCCTTAATTTCTATGCTTGTAACTCTAAGTTAAGAACCAAGTGTCCTTAATTTTTGAACTTCCAACTCTAAGTTCAGGACCAAGTGTCCTTAACTTATAAGCTTGTTACTGTAAGTTCAGGACTAGATGTCCTTAATTTATGAGCTTGTAAGTCTAAGTTAAGGACTACTTGTCCTTAGTTTTTGAACTTGTAACTCTAAGTTTAGGACTACATGTCCTTAACTTTTGAACTTGTATCTCTAAGTTCAGGACTACATGTCCTTAACTTTGAACTTGGAACTCGAAGTTCAGGACTATCTATCCTTAATTTCTGTGCTTGTAACTCTAAGTTAAGGACTGCATGTCCTTAATTTCTGTGCTTGTAACTCTAGGTTAAGGACCAAGTGTCCTTAACTTTTGAACTTCCAACTCTAAGTTCATGACCAATTGTCCTTGACACATCTAACTCCGACATCTGAATTTGTACCTCCAAATTCCAATGGTATAAGTTTCTTTATTGGTATACCTTTTTGACTAAGGTAAAACGGCAACCAGTACAAAAATGTCTATGCTACCAACTTTGAGAAGAAAAGACATAGTGCAAATGGAATCACTCCTGATATTAGACAAGCATCAAGAAGACAAACACTTCTCCTATTTCCTGAACCATGCCGACGGTCATTGTCATGTCCATTTTCAACCATATTTTCTTTCACTGTCCTTAATCGAGAGAGAAGCGAGGGTTTGGAAGAAAAGAAACGGAAGAAAGGGTAAAAATATCTTTTCATATTAATTTTAATAGAGTAGTGGCTATTTGTGCTCAACATTAGAATTGCTGGATAAAAAAATAAATACAACCTTAAATAGTGGCTACACCACGCTATTTTTACACAAAAACATGAGCTATTAAAATTTTAAGGGACTACAGAGGATAGTTTTCTCAATTTTATTTGGTAGCTCACAACTCACAAGCAACCCCCCCACCCCCACCCCCAACGAAAGAAAAAAAGAAGATGAAAGAAACAAGGTGGTAAAAGAAAATTACCAGGTTAATTTAACTTTACCAGGTCCTCATCCTACGGGTGCTCTTTTTTCTAAATATTCCTCCCTTTTGATCCCCTTTGTAGGATCTATTGCTCATTCGGTGATTCGAACCTACAACCCTCAAGCGTGGAGCTAGCCTTTGGTGTCCGGGTTCAGCTGAACCCAATAGCCAAACTCTGTATTTATCTTATAAAATCAATTGAATATATACAAATTATTAATTTAGAACCAGTAACTTAAAAGAATTGGAATCTCGAACCCATAAACTTCAAATTTTAGCTTCGCCTCTGACAACCCTGAAGTCATAGGTGGAAGGTGTTGACCATCCGAGCAACCCCTCTTATCATCCCACGGGTACTTGGAAGTTGGATGTAATATATGAAATTGAAACTTTTTTGCAATTGAAGGTGTGGAAAAAATTGAAATTGATGGAGCAAAGGGGACTTTGAGCGTAACGGGTGATGCTGACCCATACGAGGTCATTGTGAGATCGAGGAAAGCTGGAAAATATGCGGAGGTGGTGAGTATTGGGCCTCCACCAGCTCCTCCAAAACCAGATGGACAGAAAAAGCCCGAAGAGAAGAAGCCTGAGCAGAAGCCCAAACCTCAGCCTCAGCCCATGGCCCAGATGTATGCTCCTCCCCCTCCAATTATGCCCCCAGTCTGTGCTGTCTGTCAGGGAATAACACCAGTTGTTCATGTGACGCGGAGGGAAGAACCCAACCCACAGTGCTCTATTTTGTAGTAGCAGGCAGTTGCACAATTTTGAAAGAAAAAAGAAAAGTCCAATAATGTCGGCAAATGACTTATAAGTTCGAATATATAGACCAGTCTAATATATTTGTAAACATCTTCATTTAATGTCTTATGTTTTGTTAAGACACTACGGTATGCCTTTTACTTAAACCTAGGAACAATATAACTTGGTTGAAAATGACTGCAATTGGAGAGACTAACAGTTGAGCAAGCAATAACTGCAATTGTCCAACAATACTACAAGTCTTATATTTAAAGTGACCAATATGCATGTTCTGATATTCATACTCTTTCTCTGTTAAAAGTATTTACCCTTAAAAATGGATAACAATTGAATTTATACGCGATTTTAAGGATATATGGACTAATTCAATACAAGTGATTAATAACGTTAGATGAGAAAATTAAAGATAGAATAAACAGTCAAACCAATAGTAGTATTGAGGCCGGGCTCGATTATGAGCTTAACAATTAACGTGCCTTCATTTCGGAGCCAAATACTTATGATGAACTATAAACAAAATTAAGGACTTTGAATCACTTTTAGGAGCAAAGAAAACAAATGTATATTGTCTTGATACGCGTGTTACCATATCTGTTGAATAATAAACCTCCCCATTATTTAGCAGGGGAGTTTTACCTTAAGTACAATTCTAAGAAAGGTAAAAATCTTTCTTTTCGCTAATCACTAATCTGTTGCCGATATGGGTCGAGATCTGCACCGTGATATCCGGTTGGACACGGATATCACGGCCCTTTGTTAATCGTGTGCGAACGTTTGTTAATGCTTTCCGAGGTCTTTGAACACGAACCAGATCCGGGGGGCGTGGTCTCGATGGTTCCGAGGGCAGGTATTTTGTTTGGGCCTTGATTTGAGAGGCTCCTAACTCTAGTTTCGGTCCTTGTAGTTACGTCCTTGCTTCGTTTTCCCTACAGGGAAATTTGGGTGCTCATTAGCCTGGGTTTTACCCGTATACAGATAGTCCCCTCGTTTCTCAGAGAGCAGGTTTATAGAAATGATGAGAAACGATAGATGTTCTCCGGTTCCTTCCTCCGTACGTTACAACCGAAACAACGAAGAAGTTAAAACATCCCATCAATCGCTTCGTTCTGACTTCTGACACGTGTCAACCATCGGATGGCTGCCTCCGAATGCAAAGCGTCGCGTGCTTCCCCTATAAAAGCTTCTATTCCCTATTCTTTTCCACTTTCCGATCAAGCTTCTACCTTCAAATTCTCTAGCTATCACCAACTTCCTTCAAACCTTCATATCTTTATCCTTGATCTTCAAATTCTCATAGTTGTTTTTGGGTTCTTACCCAAATTTTCTTCGAATCTTCATACTGTGTTATTCAGCTTTCAAACTTGTCCCTTCAAACCTCCATACCTTTTCTTTAAATCTTCAAACTTTCTCAAATAGTAATGGCTAAAACATCCAAGTCGGTCCCTCAGCAGGTTGCCTCTTCATAGTCCTAACCGACCGTCGGTACTGAGGCGGTCGCTCCCGAAATAGTTTTTCTCGAGACGGCTGCCACCGAGCCGACTACCACCGAACCGACTCCCGAGCCCTCCTTGAAGATGTTTATTCCCAGGGGTTGTTCAATTGCGGACGACTTCAAGGTCCAGAAACCCTCATCCAAACAGGACCGGGGTGAAGGAGCATCGAGGTATATATGCTCTGTTACCGAAGACATCCTTCCCGCAGTTTGAGAGGTCAATAAATGGGAACGCAAAGACGTAGTAGTACCCGGGCCGAGGATGTTATTACTACCCACATAGATGGGTATTTAAGTATTTACATTAACCCCTTTACACTGGGCCCAGTAGATCCGGCTGATTTGGATTTTTGCAAGAGGTACGAGGTGTGCCTCAGGCAAATCCACCCGTCTCTATGAAGGATCGTGATCCTCCTCCGTTACTTTGTGAATAACAGCGAGTCTTGTTGGTTCACCATCGACCACCTGCTCCGTCTATACAGTCCCCGGATTTTTCGAGGGGGTCTAATCAAGCTCACTCGAAGGCCTAACAAAGCCCCCTTTTTGAGTATTGACGAAGACCGAGACTGAGCTTGGCTGGGGCGCTTTGTTCGGGTGAAGACTGAAGATCTGATCCCACCCAAGTTTATGCCATTACCCGAGAAGTGGAATGCATCTCATAAGTGCGGCCGTTCCTTAAGTGTCTATTTCTCTATATTTTCTTTCTCATCATTCGTATTTGTGGTCGTGCAGCTGTTTCCCGGGTTCCAAATGCAGTTCCCCGGCTTAAGGAGTGGATCAAAGGCATCTGCAAATAGATGTCATACTTCGAGCGCTCATGGCACAAGCTTTCGAAGGGCCGATGGGAGGCCCGTTCTCATGGTAAGGTTCTCCTTCGAATAGATATTATCGTGTCCTTAACCCACATCATACTAACCTTTCTTCTTTCTTTGACAGTTTTGACTAAGACCACCAAGCTTAGGCCTTTGGAAGGGGACAAGGACGTATCCTTTTTCGTTGATCCCTCTATTACGAGACAGCCTGGGGCTGCCATGGGGAAAAAGAAGAGGAGTAAAGAAAACCTTCGGGCTCCCCGTTCCCGAGGTAAAGCCAAAGAAGAGGGTGGCTCGCAAGCCCCAGAAGAGCACCAACTCTCTGGTGCCAAACTCCGATTCGCTTTCCCGGCTTAGGGATGAGTCGGAAGAAGATGACATTTTTATCGCCCTTGGATCGACCCCTCTCGGGGAGAAGGCGGCAGCCGAGAGGGAGACTCGTGAGACCGACCTCTCTCAGACTCGAGCACCCGGGACGCCGGCTCCATTCTGAAGCAGGCGCCCGGTGTAATAAAAATTATGGGGACGCCCTCCTACACCGAGTCCATGCTTGAGGAGGCCCAAACAGGAAAAGAGAAGCCCAATGGAGGGGTTCATGGCGCGGACAATCCCCTTTATTCTTTCTCTGATGGTGTGGACTCGTCTACTTTGGAAGATTTTTTCGGGCTAGACGACCTGGAAGTCCTGAAGAAGGATACATCCTCGGAAGCTGGTGGGCCGAGTTTGAGCCCAAAACTGATTAATCAGCTTCCCTGTGGACCCCGGTCACAAGAGATCGGTTATCCTTACTGTCCCGGAGGATGCCCGGGTTCTATTTGCTCCCGTGTTTTTTCAATGAGTCACAGTAGGCGCTGAACCGGGTAAGGCATCATTACGTCTTTTTGAATTTTACTTAGGTTCGGATATCTCTCATGAATTTCATTGTTTTGTAGTCCTCGGTACTTCATCATGAAAGAATCGTCCGGTACCGTGTCGAGGTCAATCAACTCGAGCTTGAGCAACAAGACGGGGTCATCAAGGACCTTCAGGCCAAGCTGAATAGGGTTCAGAAGGAAGCATCGGCCTTGAGGCGGGAACATACCGACTTGGTCGAAAAGGTAAAGGTCTTTGAAGTTAGAAATGAGGAACTAGTAATAGTGGCTATCGATAAAACCTCGCAACTCCAACAGAAGATCGAGCAGGTCGACCAACCCTGAAAGAAGATGAACGAGATCAGAGCCATGGCCGATGGGTGGAAGAGCAAGATGGATCTGCTGGCTTCGGAAAAGAAACCGCCCAGGCAAAGCTCACATCATTAGAGCTTCAACTTTGGGTGGCAAAGAAGAAAGCTGACAAGTGGGCTCAGCTGAATGAAGATCTCCAAGCACACTTGAGCTCGGCTGTCGCAGAACGGGACACCCTCGGTAGAGAGCACGAGGCAATGAAGTCCAAGCTGGAGACAACCTTTGCCGATGCCGAGGAGATTGTGGCCCAATACAAGGCCGATGTCGAAGCAGTCGAGGCCCGCCTGAAGACCAATGCTGAATATGTGAGGCGACTGTCTCGAAGAGAGACCCTTGAAGAAATCCATGCTCGAGGCTTCGACCTATCAGCCGAGATCAAGGAAGCAATAAAGCTTGAGGCTAAGGCGAAGAAACTTTCCGAGCCTGAAGGTGTCGAAGGCTCCGAGGGTTTCGGGTGTTCGAAGGCTCCGATGGTTTTGGTGATGAGCCGGGACCCGGTGAAGATCGAGCATGAATGCCTTAGAACTTTTTTAGTTTTTGTCTTGTGTATATTTTTTGTTTATTTTGAGGCCGTTTTTTTTGGGCCTTTGTAAATACATTCCGGAATATATAAAATTCTCCCTTTCTGGGAATTTTAAGTCTCTACTTTTGTAACATCTTTTCATAATCTTTATTCTTGCAAATATTTCTAATGCCTTAGCATAAAATATAGTAATAAGTCGTTCGTTTTTCATATGTTCGAACAGAGCCCGACTTTGATGCAACTTTATTTGCTCGAGGCCTTGAAAGCTCGGTGTGACTAGCAGTTTTCCCAAGATGCTTGAGTAATTTTAGATGATGCTTTTGCCGAGGGTAACCTTTGAGTAGGTTTTGAATTTTTATAAAGGCCTTGTGTTCCGATTACAAGCTTCGGACGTCTCCAAGTCAGTTTTTTAGGTGGTTGTAGCCTTTCGTGTTTAGGCACTACCTAATAGGTTTTGTGCCTCCGGGGTATGGTAGCCAAGTTGCCCAAACTTATTTCGGACGACAGTCCTCGAGTAGCGAAAGCCCTTCGGCTCGATAGTCCCCGAATAGGGGGTAGCCCTTAGGCTCGATAGTCCCTGAATAGGGGTAGCCCTTAGGCTCGATAGTCCCAGAATAGGGTTAGCCCATAGGTGCGATAGTCCTCGAATAAGGGTAGTCCTTAGGCTCTATGTTTGAAGAGGCAAAAATACGTAATAGGAAGGTGGAAAATTTCTTTCATTTCTATGTGTAAAATACATGATCGAAAGCGTGTAAAAGCTTGTATTATGACTAAGGTGGCCTACGCAAGCACGATTCATTTGACCGTTTGGCCCTTATAATAAATCTTAAACACCGAGCCTAAGCTGTTCAAGTACAAAGTTTCCTTCTTTCTTTGCTAAGAACCTTAACCCGAGGGTGATGCCCCCCAGCATACGAGGTCGATCTTTAGAGGGCCCGAATACCGTTGATGTGCCCATTGACTCCGATTTAAAATCGGTTTTCAAATCTAAGTTAGCACAATTTACTGTTGCCTCGTTAAAAACCATGCTGGAAAACCCGTTTGGGACAAAATCGATTCAAGGGAAAATGAGTGCAACGCATGCTTTCAGACCAAATAGTCACAGTCTCCTTTGGTTGTTACCTGCAAGTGTTAGCCTGATTCATAATATTATAAAAAAAGTAAATGAGA